ACACAGAAAGATGTTCAAGGCTAAGCCTGCAATCCCAGCACTTTGGGAGGCCTAGGCGGTTGGATTACCTGAGGTCAGGAGTTTAAGACCAGCCTAGCTAACATGGTGAAACCCCGTCTCTACTAAAAATACAAAAATTAACCGGGCACAGTAGTGCGCATCTGTAGTCCCAGCTACTTGGGAAGCTGAGGCAGGAGAATTGCTTGAACCCAGGAGGCAGAGGTTGCAGTGAGCCAACATGGTGCCACTGCACTCCAGCCTGGGTGACAGAGGGCAACAGAGCGAGATTCCGTCTCAAAAAAAAAAAAAAAGGAACAAGAGATGTTTAATCATTAGCCATTAGGGAAAATATGAATCAAAACCACCATGGAATACCACTTTATATCCACTAACATGGCTATTATAAGATGCAAACAAAAACAAAATAAGCGTTGATGAGAATATGGAGAAATTGAAACCCTTGTGTATTACTGGTAGGAATATAAAATGGTACAGCCATTATGGAAAAGTTTGGCATTTTCAAATTGTTAAACTAGAATTATCGGCCAGGCGTGGTGGCTCACACTTGTAATCCCAGCACCATGGGAGGCCGAGGTGGGCAGATCACTTGAAGTCACGAGTTCGAGATCAGCTGGCCAATATGGTGAAACTTTGTCTCTACTAAAAGTACAAAAATTGGTGCGGTGTGGTGGTGTGTGCCTGTAGTCCCAGCTACCTGGGTGACTAAGGCAGGAGAATCGCTTGAACCCATGAAACAGAGGTTGCAGTGAGCCAAGATCACGCCACTGCACTCCAGCCTGGGTGACAGAGCAAGACTCTGTCTCAAATAAAAACAATCAACAACAACAACAAAACAAAACGAAAACATATAGAATTATGGTATGATCCAGCATTCCACTTCTGAATGTATACCTCAAAGAATTGAAAGCAGGGACACAAACAGAAACTTGTATATCAATGTTCATAACAGCATAATTCACAATAACTAAAAGATGAAAACAACCCAAGTATCCATCAACAGATAATGGAGAAGCAAACTGTGGAATATACAGGCATGGAATATTATTCAATCTTTTTTTTTTTTTTTTTTTGAGACGGAGTCTCCTCTCTCACTAGGCTGCAGTGCAGTGGTGCAATCTTGGCTCAATGCAACCTCCTCCTCCCAGGTTCAAGTGATTCTCCTGCCTCAGCCTCCTGAGTACCTGGGATTACAGGTGGGTGCCACCACGCCCAGCTAATTTTTGTATTTTTTTTAGAAACGGGGTTTCATCATGTTGGCCAGGATGGTCTCAATCTCTTGACCTCGCAATCCGCCTGCCTTGGCCTCCCAAAGTGTTGGGATTACAGGTGTGAGGCACTGTGCCCAGCCTACTCAATCTTAAAGAAGAGGAGGCTGAGGTGGGAGGATCGCTTGAACCCAGGAGTTTGACACCAGCCTGGGAAACAAAATGAGACCCTGTCCCTACTCCCTACACAAATTTGTTTTGAAAAATTAGCTGAGCATGGTGGAACGCACCTGTAGTCCAGATACTTGGGAGGCTGAGAGTGGAGGATCCCTGGAGCCCATAAGTTTGAGGTTGCAGTGAGCTATGATCACACCACTGCACTCCAACCTGGGTGACAGAGACTGTCTCAAAACAAAAAAGAAGATACATGGTATAACATAAATGAGCCTTGAAAATACTATAAGCCAGACACAAAAGGACAAATATTACACAATTCTACTTAAATGAGGTACCTAGAATAGGTAAATTCATAGAGACAGAAAGTAGAATACAGGTTACCAAGAGCTGAGGGAGTGGGGGTCAGGGAATGAGCTGTTACTGTTTTATAGTTACAGAGTTTTAGTTCGGGATGATGAGAAAGTACTGGAAATTGATAGTGGTGATGGTTGCACAATATTGTGAACATGGCACAACAGTGTGAAAATACTTAATGCCACTAAATTATACACTTAAAAATAGCTACAATGGGCCACACATGGTGGCTCATGCCTGTAATCCCAGCACTTTGGGAGGCTGAGGCAGGTGGACTGTTTGAGGTCAGGAGTCTGAGTCCAACCTGGGCAATATGGTGAAACCCTGTCTCTATGAACAACAACAAAAAGCTAAAATGGTAAATTATACGTTATGTTTATATATACACACACACACACACACATATATTTTTGAGACGGAGTCTCACTCTATCGCCTAGGCTCGAGTGCAGTGGGTGTGATCTCGGCTCACTGCAACCTCCGCCTCCTGGGTTCAAGAGATTCTCCTGCCTCAGTCTCCGGAGTAGCTGGGATTACAGGCGCCCGCCACCACGCCCAGCTAAATTTTGTATCTTTAGTAGAGACAAACTTTCGCCACATTGGCCAGGCTGCTCTCAAACCCATGACTTCAAGTGATCCTCCAGCCTCGGCCTCCCAAAGTGCTGGGATTACAGGCGTGAGCCACTGCGCCTGGCCCTGTTATGTATATTTTTCCTCAATTTTTAAAATGTGCTAGATACCTAGGAAATAGAGTAAGACATATAATATGTAAACTTAAAATACGTGCCTATACCGGGGCCTATTATGGGGAGGGGGGCGGGGGGAGAGATGGCATTGGGAGTTATACCTGATGTAAATGACGAGTTGATGGGTGCTGATGAGTTGATGGGTGCAGCACACCAACACGGCACAAGTATACATATGTAACAAACCTGCACGTTGTGCACATGTACCCTAGAACTTAAAGTATAATAAAAAAAAAAGTGCCTATAAAACAATATTTATATTGTAAAAACATACGAATAAATTATTAGAATTAATGAGAACTCAAATTCTAAAACTGACCTAACGATGCAATACAGTTTCAATCAGTATCCTAACAGTGTCATTTTATAGCAAGCTGATTCTAAATTTTATATGGAAATGCAAAAGTTCAAACATAATAACTAATATTCTTGAAAACAAGAAGAAAGCATTTGATCTATTAGGTATTAAGATATAAAATAATAATAATGTAATAAAATCATAATTAAGATGGTGCTATCAAGGCATCATAACAAAGATAATACAAGGAATGACAATTAAACTAATAGAATATAGTAGCCCAGAAACAGACCTACATGTACATAGTTTATTTACAATAAAAATGGCATTGAATAGCAGTGAAGAAATTATGATCTTTTCAATAACTAATGGTGGGACAACTTGATAGCCATTTAGAAGAAAAAGAAACTTCCTCACTACTGAACAACAACATAAATTCCAGATCTATCATCTGGAAACTAGAGTAACAAAGGTTTGAGAGGTAATATACGGGAGATGAAAAATATCTCCTTGTTTAAGAGGACAACATATGGGCAATATCTCTCAATAATGCCCATATATTATAGTGTCTTATTACACAGTACATAAAAAAAATAGGAAATACTGATCGGTTTAACCATATTAAAATTAAGACTGTTGTTTTCCTAAGTTTACCAAACCTAAGCTATTCACAACCCTTTTTCAGTCTCTACTAGTTCCCTACTTTGAAAGATCCATTTTAAACTAGTTGGACGCTTATCTCAAATCCTTATAAATACTTACTCTAACATCCCCCCTTTGATTCATTACCAAGACTCTGTGTCAAGTTGATGGTCTCCTTTGCTACGCTACAATCGGTTTAATGAGCTTTGTTTAGTCAACAGGATTCCTTAGTGACCTTTGTTGTGGGAGAGTGGACAACTGACAGTCCTTATCTTTTTGAGAAATATACTGAAATCTTAAAAAAAAAAAAGTTGGTAGAGATGGGGTCTTGCTATGTTGCCCAGGCTGGTTTTGAACTACCAGCCTCAAGCTATCCTCCTGCCTTAGCCTCCCAAAGTGCTGGGATTAGAAGGTGTGAGTCACTGTGCCCAGTCAGTATATCGAGATTTTTTTTTTCTTTTTTTTGAGATGGAGTTTCACTCTTGTCACACAGGCTGGAGTGTAATGGCACCATCTTAGCTCACTGCAACCTCTGCTTCCTGGGTTCAAGTGATTCTCCTGCCTCAGCCTCCCAAGTAGCTGGGATTACAGGTGCCCACCACCAAGGCTGGCTAATTTTTGTATTTTTAGAAGACAGAGTTTCATCACGTTGGCCAGGCTGGTCTTGAACTCCTGACCTCAGGTGATCCACCCACCTCAGCCTCCCAAAGTGCTGGGGTTACAGGTGTGAGCCACCGCACCCAGCCCACCAAGATTTTTATAGATTAAATTCTAAGATCTGCTCCAAAATTAATTCAATAAGATAAAGTAGAAGTAGATAAGATTAGTCATAAATAGTTGATACTGGGTAATGATACATGGGAGTTCATTAGACTAGTCTGTCTACTTTGGTTTTATGTTTTAAATTCTCTACAATTATTTTTTAAAGTTATATTTGTTTTTGTAGTCCTCAAGAGCGGATGTTCACTAAGGTCACAGCAAAGTTGCACTATATGACTCTGATTACCTGGCTTTACCCAGAAAGCGTCTAGCCAAACCTAGCCTAAGTTATGCTGGATTCTGCAGTCTTGCTACAACGACAGAAGGAAGGGAAGGCCAGAGTGGTTGTAGACTTTAGATAAATAATTCTTTATTTTATTTATTAATATTATTTTTTGAGATAGAGTCTCGCTCTGTCGCCCAGGCTAGAGTGCAGTGGCATGATGTCAGCTCACTGCAACCTCCACCTCCCAGGTTCAAGCGATTCCCCTGCCTCAGCCTCCTGAGTAGCTGGGATTACAGGCGTGAGCCACCACGCTCAGCTAATTTTTGTGTTTTTGGTAGGGGCAGTGTTTCACCATGTTGGTCAGGCTGCTCTCGAACTCCTAACCTCAAGTGATCCACTCGCCTCAGCCTCCCAAAGTGCTGGGATTACAGGCATGAGCCACTGTACTCAGCCCAAAATAATTCTTTTTAAGACCCTTCTACAACACCCCAAATGTAGAACTGAGTTGCTATACTAAATTTGATGTTTAAATCTTGGTTAAAACAACAACAAAAAAGGGATAAAGAATATTTTCTGTGTTTTTTGCTTTATTTATTCAGAGAGTGAAACTGTGCTACAGTGAGCTAAATTTTTAGCTGTGCTTAGAATGTGCTCCCTTCTTTTTACTGTGGAAAAGTGAAGTATCTTATCATTTCTTAGAAACCTGGATGCTGAAATTAGTCAATATTAAGATATTATACACATCCTGAGTGATGCCTGATTTAAGATTTTGAATAGCTACTCATGTAAGTTGACTTTTCTGTGCATTTGTATCGGGGAGGATCCAGTTCAGGTTGATGTCCTGGGAACCAGTGAGGCTCTCGCTTAAATCCTGAGGGAACCAAAAAAGGGAAGGGAAGACAAATCAAAACAGTCAACAATAAGGAGTTTTAGAAACTGATCTTGCTCCTATTTCTAGGGAATAGACAGTAAGTTCTGTTAAAATTGAAGAAAAACACCTGTTTACTCATTCATTTAGTTATTCACCTTTTTTTTTTTTTTTTGAGACGGTGTTTCACTCTGTCACCCAGGCAGGAGTGCAGTGGCTTGATTTCTGCTCACTGAAATCTCTACCTCTCAGGTTCAAGTGATTCTCCTGCCTCAGCCTCATGAGTAGCTGGAACTACAGGCATGAGCCACCACACCCAGCTAATTTTTGTATTTTTTAAGTAGAGATGGGGTATCACCATGCTGGCCAGGCTGGTCTCGAACTCCTGACCTCAAGTGATCTGCCTGCCTCAGCCTCACAACGTGCTGGGGGTTATGCGTGTGAGCCACTGCACCCAGCCTCACTTATTCACCTATTCAGTTTACTTTTATTTGAGTTCCTTCTATGTGCCAGTCACTGAGTTGGGTTCTGAAAATGTAAGAATTAGAAAAAACAGTACACGTACTATGCGTTGAAAGTGGCATTTTGTTGTTGTAGCTTGTATCATATGTTGTTTCAAAGTAGTGTCCAAACTGCAAAGAAAAATTAACAGACTAAGAATCTGGAAGTCTACAGTTAACATCAGGAAATAAAGATCAATATGACATGAATTCTCATGGATTGTCATATTTTAGATGGACTGAGGTCTACGGTGTTAGTTTATATCCGTCTAACTTTCATATCTTTTGTATGTTTGCTTGTTTAGGAGAGATTTAAGCGCAAGACTCAGATAAATGACAAGTCTAGATAGGCAAGGACCAGGGGAAAAGCTAGCCTAAGTCAGAAGACGTTATAAATTTCCATAGATGAAGAGATACAGTCCAAACAGAAGTAAGAGAAAAAGAGGACTGCCCTTCCTTTTGAAACCTTACAGATAATAAAATATTCAACTTGACAGTAAAGTGGCATAGGTGGTTCAGCTGCGGACTGTTCCTCTGTCCCAAACACTTCACTGAAAACTGAGAGATCACTGCACCGGAAGTTATTACATACCTGCATTTCAAATGGCCATTGCATTTCTTTTGCCAACAAAAGGAAACAAACAAACAAAAAAGAGAAAGTTAGAGTACCTGGGAAGGCAAGGGTTTGGGCTGCACGATATTCCTCAGGTCATATCTTTCCTGGTTCCAGTTGCCCATCAGGGTATGGTTCGAATAGGCATTCTCATTAGTGGTGCATCTCCATCCATACTGGAAAAACTTGGACATATTATTCCAATCTGTCCACACTTCACCATGGCCATCTGCATTAATCATGCTGCCACAATGTGGGTTTGTGAGGAAACAGGCGAGGTTCTGTCTCTGGGAAAAGACAAGAATAGAAAAGCTTATTGCATAAACCAGAGAAGAGAAAAAGCATCCTTTCCCGCCCTTGTTTTACATAGCCAGGTAAAACATAAGCACGCCGTACTAATGATCCAAGCTTTGTTATGGTTCTGTTTCTTCCTCTCTAAGTCCTGGAACCCTTTGATCTATTCTTTCAATCAGCAACAGCGGATGACTACATGGATTAAATCCACACCCCCGCACCCCAGGCCCCGCGAAAAGACAGGAAAAACTTCAGTATTCCCAATACAATATGGAGAATTAGCTAAATTTTTAGGTAATTTTGAGATGTAGGCATTTAGGGACTAAGGGCACTGCTACAGTCAAAGAGAATAGAAAGAAGTGAGAGTTGAGTAACTAGATAACACAATAAATGAGTAATAAATGATCATTTCCTTCCTACTAGCTCAAGTGATGCCTTCCCTGAAGTTAGCGCCTCTTTCCTTTTATCTCACATAAAACTTTATCTTCTTATCTTTCTCTGTATTTATAACTTTGTACCATACATTAGAGTTCTTTAAGTCTGCATTATATCTCCTATACTGAGCTGTATGCCCCTTAAGGACAGGATCTGTTTTATTCATTATTGTACCCTGTCCTTCTGCCTATTCTCCCAAACAATCTGGTTTGCATATACCAGAAGATCAATGTCTGATTTCATTTTTTTTGTAAGGTAAAAGCTCAATCTTTCTTTTTTCCCCAAAATGTGAGTCTGACCCCCTGGCTTAGGAACAAGGTGATACCTTTCCTGAAGAAGAGTAACTTGATGCTGAGTAGGTTGAGCCGTTTGAAGATTTCTTATGAGAGTGACAGAAATTTTTACTTGGCTGTTCCATGTTCTTTAAAGATGCAGACAAACCTGACGTTCCCAGTTCTCCAAGCAAAGAAAGATTCACCCAGATTACCATGGGCAAGTGGCCATGATTTGGAAATCACCACCCACTTGCCTTTCCACAGGCAGAAACAAAGCCAGTAACGCATCATTGAAGGATGACATCCCAGGTAACTACCCTCATACCATCTGCCTTTGTGAAGACAGGTGCATGCACTGATGTTACCAAACAACATGATGACCAGAGTAGCTGGTCCCATGAAGTCCAACGGGCCTGGTATTCATACTGGAGATCTAGGTGTAACTGTCTCTAGGGCTGGAATAACAGACATCCCATCCACTCAGTTGTTCAAGCCAGAAGCCTGGGGCTTATCTTTGACTCTGACTTGTCTTTAATATTCATCCAGTCACTAGGTCTTGTTGATTTTTGAATCAGACCACTACCCTCCATTCCCAATGCCAAATTTCAATTCAAATCACTGTCAGCTTTGTCTCCATTATTGCAGCTGCCTCTTGTCTTATCCTGCCATCAGCCTTGTTGCTCTCCAAACCTTTCTCCACAGGATAGCAGAATTTTTCAAAATGAAAGTATAATTGTATCATCTTCTCATTTAAAATCTTTCAGTGGTTTTCAACTATTTTCAGAGTAAGGTTCAGCCTGTTAAAATGGCTTACAACAGAACAGAGAACCAAATACAGCATGTTCTTGTTACCAGAAGGGGTCCTGATCCAGACCCCAAGAGACACAAGAAAGAACTTAAGGTGAGTCTATAAAGCATAAGGAAGTTTATTAAGAAAGTAAGGGAATAAAGAATGGCTACTCCATATGCAGAGCAGCCCTGAGGGCAGCCGGTTGCCCATTTTTAAGATTGTTGATTATACGCTAAACAAGGAGTGGATTAATTCATACCTCCCCTTTTTAGACCATATAGGGTAACTTCCTGACGTTTCCATGGCATTTTTAAACTGGCATGGCACTGGTGGGAGTGCAGCAGTGAGGATGAACAGAGGTCAATCTCATCGCCATCTTGGTTTTGGTGGATTTTAGCTGGCTTCTTTACCTGTTTTATCAGCAAGGTGTTTATGACCTGTATCTTGTGCTGAGTATCTCATCCTGTGACTAAGAATGCCTTAACTTACTGGGAACGCAGCCCAGGTCTTAGCCTTATTTACCTAGCCCCTATTCAAGATGGAGTTGCTCTGTTATAAATACCTCTGACAATCTCACTTATAAGTGGGACCTAAACATGGAAACAACAGATGCTGCAGATTACTAACTAGAGTGGGGAGGGGGGTGGTGTGGGTTGAAAAACTATTAGGTGCCATATACCCATATAACAAACCTGCAACCTACCTGGGTGCAATATATCCACGTAATAAACTTGTACATGTACCCCCATATATAAAGAAAAGTTGATTTTTTTTTAAAAAGGCTTACAACGCTCCCTGTGACCTGGCCCCTGCCTAACTCTTCAGTCTCATCTGTTACTCTCCCTCCAAATGTGTTTCAGCCCAATTCAACTATTCTGTTTCTCCATCAAGCTTTTGCATATATTGCTCTTTCTGCCTCTTCACGCCTCTTAACCCAGTTAGGATGTACTTTTACCCTCTTAGCTTTCAACCCGGGTTCACTTCATCCAAGGACTCTGACCCACTTCGCCCAAAAACTTGGTAACGTTCTCCTTCTGTGTGCTCCCATTGCACACTGAATCACTCCACGCATAGCACACACCCTGCCATATCAGAGTTGCCTCTTTTGCTCTGTGCATTCCCCACCAGACTGCAGGCTCATTGAAATCATAGGCCACATCTTGTTCATCCATATATCGTAACCACTCTCACAGTGGCCTGGCACGCAATAGACCTCAGTAATCTTTCTTGAATGAATAGAAAATAGGAGATTTAAGCACCTGGAGGAGAAATTTTGAGCAGCAGAGACACTGGGAGGCAGCCATTTCGGACGAGGTGAAAAAAGTTTCAAAACCTTCTGCGTCAAGAGCATGCGAGACACAGTCCAATCTCTCCTTGGCCTCAGCCCCGCCCCGTTTCTTTCACTCAGAACTCGCCTCACCCCTGTGACTGCTTGTGACCTCATGCAGGTGTGATGAAGTCGCTCAAGGCCATGCTTGGGCTAAAGGCACTATGATCTTCCCGAGGGGCTGAAAGGGCGAGGGGACAGGAAAGTGGGCGTCTTGCTTTTGCATTCATAGTTATTATCCTCCCAAGGAGTCGGTGCACCCGTTCGTCTAGACAACAGGGCGCCAAGGGTGCCTCATCAACTAGCGACGAGTGAAGAGGGGGCGGGCAGAGATCCGCGAAGGAAGTGACGTAAAACGAGCGCCACAGAGAACGCGAGCCGGGAGTCCGTGGAGGCCATGGCCCCTCGGCGCCTCCTGTTGGTTGGGGAGGGGAATTTCTCCTTCGCCGCCGCTCTGAGCGAAACCCTGGATCAGAACACTCGTCTCACCGCCACCTGCCTCCAGCGCCCGGCCGAGTTGACCCGGGATCCAGTGGCCCGGGAGAATCTGCGGTACCTGCGCGAGCGAGGTAGCGAGCCCGCCCGTCTGCGAAGCCCCGCCCAGGGGCTGGCGCGTCCCAAAGTGGAAAGGGTGGGGGCGTGGGGATGTAACCCACGTGGAGACTGTTCTTGATCGTCCCACGGATATTCACATAAAGCCGGCTTTGTGCCCAGACTTGGGCTGGTCTGCACGGTGTAAGTTAGGAAGAGTTTTTCTGTTCCATGTCTTAAGGCGTCCTCCTATCTCTATTTTGCGCCCCTAAACTATCTTTGCCAGGTATTGATGTACGTTTCGGTGTGGACTGCACCCAGCTGACAGATGTCTTTGAACTGCACGACAGAGAATTTAATCAAATTTATTTCAACTTTCCGCATTGTGGACGCAAAGCTGGCGTAGCTAAGAACAGGGAACTGCTTGCCAAGTTTTTCCAAAGGTGAGGAAAGGAGTGCCCTCACAAGGAAAATGTTTAAGATGTCCATAACATAGTTACTGTACCCAAACATAAGGCACACGTGCAAGCTACTATATGTTTAGAAGAGAATATAAAACCTCAAAGGAACCCCCAATTTAGTTGGAAAAATATATATAAATCCTAAATGCTAAATGAAAGTACAAATAGTGTACTCTTGGGTGTGTAAAAGAGGATCATTTATTTTTGACAGTGCAAAATAATGAGAGCCATATAGTCTAATGGCTAAGAACGTTCACTTAGAAGCCGGACTACCTGGATTCAAATCCCAGCGCACCACTTAACAGTTGTTATTTTTTTATTTTTATTTTTTTTGAGACAGAGTCTCACCCTGTCGCCCAGGCGGGAGTGCAGTGGCGCAATCTCTGCTCACTGCAAGCTCCGCCCCCATTCTCCTGCCTCAGCCTCCCAAGTAGCTGGGAGTGTAGGCGCCCGCCACCACGCCCGGCTAATTGTTTGTATTTTTAGTAGAGACGGGGTTTCACCGTGGTAGCCAGGATGCTCTAGATCTCCTGACCTCGTGATCCGCCCTCCTCGGCCTCCCAAAGTG